GGGGGGCGCCCTACCTCGTCACGGTTGTGGATGGCAGCCAGGAGCATCACGGCCCCGGTGGAGGGCCGGTACAGCTTCCACTGCGGAGTGGCCAAGATGTCGGCCCAGAGGAATCTGAGAGGGGGAGAGGGAGAGCGGGAGCCTTAGGATGCTCCCGTTGCTAGGGAACGTCCATAGCGACCGCATCCGGCCCCGCGATGTCCTAGCTGCGTCTGGGGGCAGGGGGACGTGCTGCCCCCCACCTCGTGCCTACGCCCGGGGGCAGAAGCTGCAGTCCCCCCCCACCCCCGCTTCCCCAGCTGGTGGCTCCATCTCCGCAGCGCTCGGGGCACCCAAGGGCTCCGGCTAGGGGTGAGGCCCCTGGAAGATGTCCCAGAGGTCCTTACCGGTTCCTGAGATAACGGATGAAGTCTGGGTGGAGCATCTTAAACTTCTCTGCCAGCAGGTCCCGTCCAAAATACTTCTGGGGCCTGCAAGGAGATAGGGGCTGCATAGAGAAGCAGGGGGACACGACAGCTCCCATCCCTCCTCTGCACCGCCCTACTCACCAGGCCCCCTTGTCCCTGCCCCTGTCCACACGCTGGTGGGTCACAGCTGCCCAGAGCAGCAGGTAGTCTCGGTCGTGATCCGGGAGGAAGACATACCGGGTCTCCTGTTGAGGGTAACACAGTGAGGGTTAGCACTGTCCCCAGCCTGGGGACAAACAAGGGAAGAAAATGCTTGCTGAGCCAGGGGGAGACCCCTGTGCCACATGTGGGCAGGACGAACGGGGTCTGAGACTGGTCGGGAGGCTCTGGGGACAGGGCAGAGCCCTCCAAGCTGGGAGGTTATGATCAGGGGGAGCTGGCAGCCACATGCCCTTGGCTTCTCCCCTCCCCCTTCCTGGCCACCCTGGGCAGCCGGTGTGGCAGGTGGGTCCCTCACCAGCGTTTGGGGAGGGTGCTGGAAGCCCTCCGCAGCATAGCTGTTCAGCGAGTTCATCATGGTGTTGGTGGAGAAGACGTAGAAGGACGTCCTGTTGCCGACATCCCTCTCAAAGCCTGCAGTGATGGCCCCATTGACCCTGGTGGAGGAGAGGGCAGGAATGAGGTGGCCCCGTCGAAGCTCAGGGCTCAGCCCTGCCCCACACGGTCCCTGAGCCTCACCTGAACACGTAGTCGTGGGCATCGATGGTGCGGCCCATGCGGGAGCCGTTGAGGATGCCACCATTGCCCACCACTGCACAGCGGATGCAGGGCGCAGGGGCACCCGGCCCCTGGCTGCGGGTGTCAAACAGGAACCCGTTGGCTGACGTGTTCAGAAGGGACAGAGATGCCTTCAGGACTGAAACCGCAGACCGAGGGCTGGTGAATACAGGGGAGCAGGGAGGCGAAAACACCTGAGACCCCCGGGGCTCTCACATCTCCCCAGCACGGGACGGCCCAGTGCCTTTCCCCAGACACGGCAGGAGGCTGGGAACAGCCGCTCTGTCCCCTGCTCCTGAGAAGGGAGCCCCTGAGAAGCACTCAGTCCTGGGGCTCTGCTGCCTTGTTCAAGGGGCCCGGGGTGGCCCCGCTCCGCTCCCCCTCTGCATGACGAGACCTCCCTCTGATTGCCCCAGGGCAACGGCAGTGCTGGGTCCAGGCCCGCAGCCCCCTGCTGAGCCCCGGCCCCGCTCGCACCATCCCAGCTGACTTCCTTCCAGCCGTGAGCCCCTGTGTATCTCCGGAGACGCTGGTACTCGTCCTCCCGGGCGTGCTGTGCCCACTGCAGCACTGGAATGGTCTCCAGGAAGATGTCCTTGAACTCTGTAGTCACAATCTTCTTCCTGATGCTGCTGGGGCACTTCTGCAAGCACAGAGGGCAAGTGCCAGCATGTGACAGCAGCTCCGCAGGTGTCCTGTGTCAGGAGGCACTGACAGAGCTGATGGGGACTTTCCTCGGGCCCCTGCTTCCTATCTGCACAGTCCAGTCTGACCTTGGCAATGCCTTATCGAAGAATTTCACTGCCCCAACCCGATACCTGAAGACACGTGCCCCATCCAGGGGGCCGAACCGTACCGAGCTACAATAGGTCTTGTCCTGCCCATACGTGTCCCCAAGGTGTGGCCACAAGGTGGGAACAGGGGGTCTGTGTTGTGGCTGCGTCACCTGCTCCAGGGCTGCTGTCATAAGGGCTCCGGGCCCTTCAGAGTTGATGGGAGTCCTGCTGGGAAGAGAGAGGAGGCTGCGGCTGGCGGGGCGCAGGGCCCGGGCTGCCGGCCCCAGGCAGAGGGAGGTGCCAGGCGGCAGCCTGTGGCCTGCTGGCACCGGTCCAGGAGCAGCACACCCGGCTGCACAGCGCCGTTAGGCTGAAACGCTCAGTCACCCTCCAGAGCAGCGTGGACCATCTTCCATGCCTGGGCTGGCTGGCAGAGCAGCGGAGGTCAGCTCTACCCCGCACCAGCTCCTCTGCTCGCCTGCCTCAGCTCTCGGCCAAGGGGACGTTGAGGCCTGAAGCAGAGCAACCAGCAAACCCACTGCTGACGGAGCCGATCTCCCAGGCCGCGTCCCTCTGCCCTGGCCTGGGCTCAAGGCTGTCTTAGCGACACAAAGCTCTGCATCCTGTTCCCAATCCCCGGCCGTTCAGCTTGGCTGCGGTCTCTAAGGCGAGGATTAAAGCACCGACAGAGGCCGGTCCCTGCAGAGGAGGTGCTGCTCTGGGTCTGCCTGCACCCACGAGGGTCCTGCCAAGGCAGGGTGCTATGGGCTAGCAGGAAGAGTGCCAGGCCTGGGGATGGAAGTGCCCATTAACTCTCTGTCCCCAGCCACCCCGCAGTCCAGGGAGCATGGGGAGATCTGGGCTCATCTTACAAAGCAGGGAGCAGGAGGATGAGTCCTGCCTGCCCCTTTTGCTGTAAAGTCCCCAGGTGCAGTCCAAACCAGGGATCTGTTCTGCAGTCAGTCAGCCGCAGAGAACATGAGCAAAGGTTAACCCAGGTGTTAATTATTTCCATGCCTGACAAACTCCAAGGCCAAAGCCATTCCAGAGAGAAACACAGACATGTCCACCCAGGGCGGGTGGGAGAGCCAGACTATTCCCACTGCCACCAAAGCAGCAGCCTCGCGGGGCTGCCTAAGGACCCATCCCTGCCGGACCGCGGAGACGGCCTGCTTGCAGCCATCCCCCGAGGGACCAGCTTTACCTGGAGAGTTTGTGCCACAATTTCCACTGTGCGGGGAGGAGCAGCAGCAGTAGGGAGAGGAGGGCGGCCATCAGCACAGAGGCCATGGCGCAGCGTGTCTGGCAGAGCGTGAGGGATGGGAAGCTCCGGCAGGCACCGGGGCTGAGCCCGAGCCACGCAGACCCCTTCACAGTTCCAAGAAGTCTTCTCATGGTGATAGCTGGGCCGAGAGGGAAGAACACGCTCAGTCCCACAGTGCAGGGCTCTCTCCTTTGGTGAGGAAGGAAGTGATCCACTTCCTTAGAAGCAGATCAGGAAGTGCATCACCCTTGGCACTGTTTTCCCAGGCTTAATACAGACTTCCAGGCAGTGCCAGTTTCCTCTGGTCAGTCCCTCCTGCGAGGCCGGCTCTCACTAGCTTGCAGAGGTACCTTTGCACACCCATGAGCCAGTGTGACGCAGGGCAGCTGGCTGCCTCCACGACTGGCAGGGAAGCAGAGGAATGGCCCTTCCACCTGCTTTTCTCCCAAGCGCGTCCTTCCAACGGCACCTCCTTCCCCCAGCCCCAACCCAGCAGGCACCTCCAGGCTGCTACTGCCGCTTTCCCCAGCACCCTTCCCAGGCACCCCAGACCTGTTTCCTGGGGCCCGTTGGGAGCTTCACTCCGCCCGGCTCAGCCTCGTTGCATCTCAACAGTACCGCATCACCGTGGTCAGCATTTGGAGGACCAAGGGCAGCCTTGCTAACGCTGGTCCTCAGGAAGCTGGCGGCAGCGCCGGAGGTACAGGAGAGCAGTGCGCACTCACAAAAAGCTTTACATGGCCCAAAGCCGGAAGCCGCAAACAGGAGGAAGAGGAAGGGAGGGGAACATAAGATATGATCGTTAGAGGAGCAACAGTAAAAACAAGTGCCCTGCCCGGTCTTTCTCTGGAAAATAGAGTAACGTGTTTCTTCTGACCTGTGCTCCTCAGGTACTGCTCTTTGAAAGACGTAATTCAGCTAATTGAGGAGGCAGAGACCAGCAAAGCTGAAGGCTCAGCAAGGCCAACCACAGAAGGAAAAGGAGCCGGGCAAGACTCAGCATTGACAGCTGAACCCCAGGTGCGTCCCTCAAGCTGGAGGTGACCAGCTGCCTTCTGCCTCTCTGCCACAGCCAGCAATGCCCAGTCTGTAGGAGCTGCCCAAGCATAGGCTTGAGCAAGCAGGTGTTTGCAGGCAGGTGGGACTCCAGGGTGCCCTGTGACCACGCTCACAGCCCA